TAATTATGTTTCCCAAAGTTTATATAGAGAGCCAGTTTGGTGTCATGGTTTCTAGTATTAGGCTAGAAACGAGGAGATTCTAGTCCTGCCTTAGGCATGAAGCCAGCTTGATGACGATGGCCCAGTCACTCACTCTCTAGCCCTAGGAGGAAGGCAAAAGCAAGCCACTTCTGAAAACGTTGCCAAGAAAACTGCAGGGACTTGTCCAGGCAGTTGCCACGAGCCAAGGCTGACTTGGAGGCTACATACATAATGTTTATATAGTGGTATGTGATAAAGTCTTTAATTTTTTGGGAGGAAGAACAATATATAAAAAACAAATATGAAAAAAAATCATGTAAGGTAAGGCTATCAATGGCTAATAATCACAATGCATTGATAGCACTTTCAGTGCATAGGGGACACGACCAGGAGAATGCTAATACATAACAGTGGAAAACCTGAATGCATCTGGCTACTACAGAAAATGTAGAACAGTGTGCTAGAGTAGAGACTTTTGGTCTGATTTTATCTCTTACAAAGACATTAAAGCTTATTGTATCTTAATACAATTCGGATTTTAAAAATAATGTATTTATGCGCAAAATTCAGAGATACATTCTACTTTGTCAGAGACACAGAACCTATAGAAAAGCAATAAAATTAATACATCAAATCATATACCTATGATAAACAACAATCCTTGTCAGGATTTTGTTCACATATTAACTTGGTGCACAGATTTAACAAATAGTTTTAATGATCCAGTCTAATCTTCAACCTTCTATAGCTCTCCAACATAGTATACATATGCATACAACTCCTTCATTGTTGCTATTACATGTTTTTAATTTTAAAAAAAGACACAGTAGCAGTCCATCCATTCACACACAGATACATCCTTTAATTCCATTTATAAGCTGTTCTTTTTTCATATGGAATTCAAGGCTGCACGTACATGGAGTCTTAAGTGATCTCCCATCTAGGAGTATTTAAATTTGGATACTTACTGCCTCCAGTGCAGTCAAGACTGTGTCTTATTTACAAAGTCAAACCACTGCACTAAGGCAAGCTTCGAGACATTTTTTTAGTTTATAGTCCTGGAATTTTCTGGTGGTCTCCCATCCAAGAATGAACCAATCCAGTAGAAATTACTGGATTCATGATTCAGCGTGGCTCGACTGCTAGGCATGAACTCAGCTAGTGGCTCTCAGATGAACAAAACAGCAAGTAATGATAAATAAGGATCTTTACTGCATATTAGAATGAAGTCGTATAAAACAATTGATTGCTCTCTGTCACAGCGTGAATGCAAACTGCCTCATCCCCAAGTATGAGGGTTCAGTTCAGTTCTGTTGCCTCTTCTTCCTGTTACAAAAGACTCTGTAATGTGCTTCACGGCCTTGAAGCTGACGGGCGGTTGACAGTTTATACATAACTGATACTTCTGCCCAGTTTCACTCTCACAAACCAGGTGCATCACTCCTTAACTACTGAGCCCACAGGAAGTAGGCTAGATGCTATCACTTACCAGGACCGCTCTCGGCGCCGCTAGGAGCCACCCCCCCACCAAACCTTACACTCCCTCACACTCTCTGCCCCCCTGCACGACCTCTCTCACTAGTCAGCAGGGTGGGCGTCCCACTCACTCCCTCACACCTCCTGTCTCTCACCCAGGAGGTGGATCCTAGTATCCTCATACACTCCCAGACTCCCTCCCAGACTCTCACTCCCCAGAGGGAGTCCCAGACTCACACTGGAGGGACCCTGCAGTTCTCCACTGACACTGGGGGGGGGTGTTAAATGGGGGTGGCTAGGTTCTTAATCCCCAGTTCACCAGTCTTAAAACCAATGGCTGTTGGCTTCATATGGTGTCCGGCTGCTCCCCTGTCTGGTTGTTCCTCCAGAGCCAAGCGATCTTCCTCCACAGTTGGGCTACAAGTCCACTATGACTTCAGCCCCCCTAACCCCCCCAGCATCCTTGCGCCAAACCACCAAGCTCTCAGGACTCCAGTCGCCTATAAGTTCCTACATCCTTGGAGTTTGTTGCATTGCTCCGGGACACACTAAGGCATGACATTTAGCCCACGGCACGACATTTAGTTCGTTGGAACTCACAGCACTGCTCCAGGGCCCCCTAAGGGCTTGCTGTGCCACGTGAGGGCCTGCTGCGCCTGCTGGACCTGGGGTTGGGTGTACTGTGTCCGGGGCTTGCTGGGCCCGCTGGGCCTGGGGCTCAGTGTGCCAGGGCCCGTTGGGGTTTGCCGCGCCGTACTGGAATTCACCGGGGTTTGCCATGCTGCGCCAGGGCTCACCAGGACTCACTGTGGCTCGCTGCACCCCCCTGGGGCCACGTCGTCTCAGGGCTCGCTGTAGGTCGCCGCCCACGCCGAGATCTGCGAGAGCTCTCCCTGCCGCACCGAGACTAGGTAGGCTCAATAGGCTTGCTGCGCTGCACCGGTACCCCTTGGGGTTCACCATGCCATCCCAGGGCTCGTCAAGAGTCACCACTCACGCTCGGGACCAACAAAGCTCTCTGCTCTGGGGCCCACTGCACCATACAGGAACCGCACTGCACCGGAGCTCGCCCAAGGCTCATCCAAGGCTGCTGCTCTCCGCCACACACCACCGCACTTTGCCAGTGCCCTGCAGCTCTGTCCAGGGGTTGCATCCGAGTCAACACAACAAAGGGGGGTAAAACCCCCTCACGGTCTTCTCCACACCTAGTCCACCCCTAAAAGATGGTAAAATCCCAGGGAGAGAGGGGTCAAAACTCCAAAACTCCCCCTAATGTAGTGGCAGTAACTGGGGTTTGCTGGCAGCCGCCATCTTGGACTCTTACTATGATCACAAGCCCATCCACTCCAACTACTACGAAAAAAAGTATCTAGCACCACTTATACAGATCTCAGTTCATGTTCTAATTGACAGTATTGCTCTATATTACATGCAGCACATCTGGCTTAAATAGCTCTATTATGCTTTCTAGGCCAGCATACATTCCCATAGATCTGTTTCTCAACCTCAGCAAGTTTAAGGCATTTGGACTTCAACTCCCAGAATTTCCCCAGCCAGCATGCTGGCTGGGGGAATTCTGGGAGTTTACGTTCACACATCTTACAAGTTGTTGAGGTGGAGAAACACTGCTATAGATGCTTGCTTGTGTTGGGTTACCTGGGATGACAGATTTATGCCTTTTGAGATGGGTGCCCTAAGGAGAGATTCTTTATAATCCACTTGTAACTACATTTCTTCATTCAGTTATATCAAATTCACATTTGCACAAAACTGAACAGTATACTTGAACAATGATGGGTAAAAGGTCAGGAAGATGTATGCCTTGGCAAGAAGGCACAACAGAATTACCAAATCCATTTGCATGTAATGCCAGAGCACAACAATTATACATGCTTTCTCATTTTGATTTCATATTCTTAAAACCATTGCCCACTCCTTTCAAATTTAAACCTCTTTCAGAGCATGGCAACTCAGATGTCACAGGCTCTATCTGAGCCCTACACAGATGATACATAAGATGTCAGTTATAATTCACATCAGATTTTTCATATGAATAATGTGCTATAATCTTTGTACTGGAGTTAAAGATGTGAAACGTGCAAATATGCACGTGAATAGAATATAAATTTCCTGGGCAAAAAAGGTTGGGGAAATATCTCAAGTGCTCCAATAAGAAGTATCAAATTCTTATTTGTCAAAGTTACCTATTTCTGAGGAATTTTCAAGCCAAACATGCGACAAAGCAACTTCTGTAACGATGGAAATCCACCAGAAGCTAATAAGAACATGTATAATTCTGGGCTGGCAAACACTAATATGGCAAGCAGTTCCATTAGAAAAATGCAGCCATCATAGCAGATAAGTCACTTTATCGGTAAAAGATAATTTAACTGAAACCTGATTTCTGTTTTTGTCTTCTTCATATAAATGAAATACACAGAATGAATTGGACTGGTAATCTGTCATATTTTTTCTGGAGGGATGTGTTACATTAGGAAATAAAATGGAGTTGTTACATAACTATTTTTTTAAAAAACCAAAGCAATTAATATTAGAAATATAATTAGTCACTATACTCTTTAATACACAAATATATTTTGTATATTTTACAAAGTAAAACGTCTTAAAAATCAAAGCAAATTTTGCCTGTATTTTGCAATACAGCCCTAAAAACAAACCTATGACCCAAAAAGAGTAACATTTCCATTTAAGGAACAAATATGATTAAGACAAGACAGGATATTATGGCAAATCACAGACTGAAATATTGGTCACTCACTAAAATAGAATGGATTTTGCATCACTGATTTACAATTTGTGCATTTTTATTCTGTTTGATTTCACTAGTTTCTGTGGTAATAGTAGTATTTTTATTTGGCATTGGCCTATACATTAATCATAATACAAAGAGACAAGAGCATCACAACATAGTATAAACAAGTGTCCTTCCTTTCTTCCTAAACCATAGTTTAGGAATAATCTAAACTGATATTGGATATTGTAACCAAATGTAATGTATTATTGCATTATTGTAACCAAAAACAATGGTTCTTCCAACTTTATAAAGGAAAACTCTGAAAAAAAGCTGCTTTTAGGCTTTTTAAACCTCATAAAATCAGACTCCAAATGTGATCTGAGGGGAAGTTGATTCCAAAGATTAGGAGTTAGATAGGAAAAGAGTCTAAAATGTGATATGGCCATTCTGACATGTGGAAAAAAACAGCTTTAACAGGAATGTAGATTTGCATCCAAGAAATACTTTATACAACCGCAGCAATGTTAGCCTCATTTTGGTTCATAAGCTGATGGGAAACAGTCATCTCCAAACCTGACCCTTGTGGCTTAGTGGCAGACAGACACAATTTTTTCGACATTCAGATAGCCAAGAACAAGTATACTATATGGGAAGCAACAGCCTAGAGCTTTTTCAATTTCATCTCAAAAATTTATCTTGAAACTAGAAAAGACTGAGAAAGCACAAACATTCCAGTCTGAGTACTTACCTGACAGTCAAAGTCCTGGAAGTTTCGAGCTGAATTCTGTCAATATAAGAACAGCCATTGATCAACAAACAACAAACTTTGCTTTGCATCTATTTGAAAATCTTATTCCAGTGCCTTAACTGCAACAAAATTATAGTACTGAGCTGAAGCTTCCTGTACTAAACAGGAATAAAAAAGTACCCAACAATGACAATTTGTCCCCGTCCCCCCCAGTCTTTTACCCTAGAAATCAGTATATTCCATATCATGATGGAAATACTAAGACTGGTAGAATAATAGAAGAATAGTAGGACAATAGCAGAGCAATGATACGCATGTATAAATATATACTGTAGATTCTAGACATATTATTTTTAACATCAAAATGGATATTCTCAAGGAACAAATCCTAACACAACTGTTCATGTATAAGTTCCAGGCTTTAAGATAACATTCTTGGCCATACGTTCAAATTTTTATTTTCAAGTATATTTTGAAAGACCCATCAAAATTATGTAAGCTAAAAGTGTGCATACATTGCAGCAATGGGGCTACTGCTGAATGATGGCTGCTTTGCATGCAAAAAGGGTCCAAGAATCAATCCTTATCATTCCCAGCCAACAATATTGAGCCATGTACATATGGACATACCCCTTGAAAGTGTACTGATTTAAATTTTCAGCTGCAGAAACTTCATCAAAGTTAAAGATGAAACAGTACTGTTGAAGTTCAAGTTAGCTTTCTAATTTGTTTACTTAGGTAACGTTCCTTCTATGCTCTCTATACAGAGCAGCTAATCTAATAACCAGCATAAAACAAAACAAAATAAAAGCCTTAATTTTGGGGTATTTATATATCTGAAACTCTGCACAATGCAAAACAGAGATCAACATTTCATAATAAATATATCCCAAGATCATTGCATAATATATTCTGCTTATGCTACCAGTTGGAAGGGCACATAACTATGTGGGGCCATGAAGCACTGCTGCCTCCTGTCCACCTTATTATGCAGAGTTTATGTTTGAACACTTACAAATACCTTTTAGGCAATTATAATGCCTTTAATGTTTTAAAGTAAACTTCAATCAACAAAAGCTTAACCATAATAGATTAGTTCATCTTTGAAATGCCACAAGACTATTTGAAATCAATACGTATGGCACTTCAGTGAGCAACAGCAAAGATTAAGACCTTGCTCCATGAAATCTAAAACCTAGAATTTGTTCCAAGGAAGCAAGAGAGAAAAGAGAGGTAAGCCTATCTGGTAGAAGAATTGTCTTTCTACATTAAATATAGGAACTTCTAAAAGACTTTTCAATGGACTTTCTCAGTAAATTAAATTCTACATCCAACATGAGAAAACTGTAATATATACTCCTACTACACATAGTTGGCACACAGTACAAAATGGCTAGAGTTTTTCTCATGCTCAAACACAACTCTTATTACCTTATCATTTAGGAGGGGTTTAATTTCTGTCAACTGGACATCTTGCAATTCATCCATGTTATTGAAATCAATGAGATTCACTGTTGAACAGCAAAGTACTCTTCCTAAAAGCAAAACAGAAAAAAAAAAATAAGGTTCACAATGCTGGAAATGATCCCAGATCAAAATAGAATGTATTAAACTGTAGACCGTGGATTTTCAAACAGAGGCTATGATGAAGCCTCTGGAACAGCAACTTCTTCCTCTTTTTGCAAAGATGAATATAAGTCTGGCTGAATCATAACCACTGAATATTTCTGGAAAAAGATGCTAAACATTTAAATCAGAGGCCTGTTCCGATACTCCATGCCTTATTATATTCTCTGTAAGACAGCATTACACAAAAAACAGCAGTAGTGTAACACAATTTAACTTTCTTAATATTCAAGGTTAAGTATAAACATGAAAGAGATACACTACTTATGCTTTTAGAAACAATCAAGGGAGATAAAAAGACTAATTATATACACATTAACTTATCTTATTGCTGTGAAAATGTTTACAAGTTGACTTAAGGCTAATGAAGCTGAGAAGTTGACAGCTTTGCCTTGCTTAGTTTTTGCCTCCATTTCATCCTTTGAACTAGGTCTAGTTTGTATAAAATTATGGGGGTGGGATGAGGAGGTCATTGTCCAATTGGAAGTAGTCCAAAACAACTTCCATCCACCTTGCTGCTTCCCTTCCCTTCCACCTTTTCCAGCACTAGAGCCTTCTCCAGAGAGTTAGATCTTCACATAATGTGTCCAAAGTAGAATAATTTGAGCCTGGTCATTTGTACTTCAAGTTAGAACTTGGGTTGATTTGTTCAATGATCCACTGGTTTGTTTTCCTGGCTGTTCACAGTATACTCAGGAATCTTCTCCAACACCAAAGTTCAAAAGCATCAATACTCTTCCCATTCTACTTTTTCAAAGTCCAACTTATGTAGAGTGTCACAGGGAATACTACAGCTTGCATTATTCTGATCTTTGTAGATACAGACACATCACAGCATTTGAATATCTTTTCCAAGGCCTTTATGGCTGCTCTGCCAAATGCTAGTCTGTGATGTATTTCTTGACTGCTGATTCCTTTATGATTGATCCTAAAGGCTATCCACCACTTCAATATATTTATTGTCAGTTCTGGTTGTTCTACCTGTTGCCATTAGTTTAGCCTTCTTTATAAATAAACTTTAGTACCATTTTTTCACTGTCCTCCTTGACCTTCATTACTAGAGCTTGCAGATCCTTTGCATTTTCGGCTATCAGGGTAGTGTCATCAGCATAGCACAGGTTGTTGATGCTTCCTCCTCCAATTTTAAAACCACACTCATCTTCTTCCAATCCAGCTTCCCTTAATATATATTCAGCATATAGGTTGAATAAATAAGGGAAAAATATACAGCCTTGGTGCACTCCTTTGCCAATCTGGAACCAGTCTGTTTCACTATGTTCTGTCCATACTGTGGCTTCCTGTCCTGTAGATACATTTCTCATGAGGACAATGAGATGTTCTGGGATTCCCATTTTTCTGAGCACATTCTATACTTTGATGTGATCGACACAATCAAAAGTCTTTCTATAATCAATGAAACACATACCAACTTCTTTTTGGTATTCTTTGGCTTTCTCAATTATCCAGTGTGCATCAGCAATAATGTTTTGTGTTCCTCAGCTTCTTCTAAAGACAACTTGAATGTCTGGCATCTCTTTTTCCATGTAGGGCTCTGTGTTGGATGATCCTAACCATTATTTTGCTAGCAGGTGAAATTAAGGATATTGTATGGTCGTTTGCACACTCTGTTTGTTAAGTCTCCTTTTTTTGATATTGGAATGTTGATAGACCTTTTCCAATCTGTTGGCCACTGTGTTGTTCTCCAGATTTGCTGGCATAACTTGTTAGAACCTTTATTGATTCTTCTTCTGTTGCTTATTTCTGTGGGTATTCCATCAGTTCCTTTAGCCTTGCAACTTGGTAATGACTGGAGTGCTGATCTAACTTCATCTTCTAGTATTAGAGGTTCTGGTAAGTAGGGAATTTCTTCTAAGGTATATGTTTTCTATCACTGCTGCTCAATATAGGTGCCTGCTTGCTTTAGCTGGGAAGCTGGTATGGCCTTCATGCCTTGGGTGATCCTGCTGGAAATATATACTCTTGGCATGCACTACTGACATTCTTCATTCTTCCCTCCCAGGAACACCCTCCCTCCGCCACAATAAGGCAGTACAGTAGGACTTGGAATGGCATCCAGCTTTACGTAGCATTAATACTCCTTAATGCCTGACTGATCTAAAGTATTATCTATCATAACTGGTGAGGACATTTTTTACTGCTCTGTCTCTGACAACAAATGCTCAGGACAGCCCTATTACAGAAATGGAATCCATCCGTATGTACTTTTTCCCTCCCCATCCTCCCTATTTCTGAACAATGTACTGTACATTTGTGATAATTAGCTTTACTTGTCTCTAACACATTTCTTTATGGGTTTAATATCACACAGCTAACAGCTGGGATAATCCAAGAAATAAGTTACCCATATGGTGCTGAAAAAAGCAGTGTCCAGAGGGTTTCAAGTTTTCTTCACCATAATTGGTAAATATAGTTGGCTGATGTTTCCAAGGCAACTGTGTGTGCTCTCTGGATATGCAAGAGAAGGCTATCATCAGCTGACTAGGCAGCTCTCTTGTCCAACCATCCCTTTTTCTAGGACTGATATTTGGCATCTTAAATCTCCAATACTGAGCAGGCAAATAAAAAGTATTAAAAATAGAGTGAGCCTTTGGACTGGAGGCAGTTTTTAGTGTCGGGCTTTTAATTTAGAACTTACCGGTCTAGTCCAGTAAGTTTGGATTATAATACTTTTTTTCTGGGCTGGTGGATTAATCTGAAATATGAGATGAAGTTGTAGACGTTCTCACAAAATGTCTACTTTATTGTGCGGGGAGCTTGCTTATTCGTAAAATGGCTGCCAAAATGAGCAATGAAAAAAGACATGCATTTCAGGAGGCAAATTGGTGAAGCTACTGACTGAATTCAATGAGATCACTGTTTTAAAATGAGCCGCTGCTGAACTCCACCCACGTTGCTTTCTAAATGGTTACTATGCCTGGGCTGCAAAAGTCAAGATGAGCACTAAATGGTTGCAAAGAGATTCCATAAACTCTAGCTTGTTGCTGCTACTTATTGAGTATTTGGGTTTTGCAGCCCAGATACAGAAGTCTTATTTGCCTATCATCCTATCTTACCTTTGTTCCTTTTTCCTCCCAACAGATGGGTACACTGGGTCGCAGCACTAACCATTTTTATCTTCTAACTGCCAATGGGGTCTGTATATAGCCCAGAGGCATTCTTAGCAGTGAAAGATACCAGAAAGTATCGTTCTGCAGCATGCCAGCTTCCTCAATCGTTATACTTAATTAATTATTTCAACATTCATACTGGGAAGGCCTGGGTGAAGAAGCAAGTTTTCAACAGGCACCTAAAAGTAGGTGCCTCCCAAATTACAGGGGAAGAGGATTCCGAAGTATGGGTGCTGCCCAAGGGAGAGTCCATCTACAAGCAACCACCAGCATTCATTACACATTGCAGCACCTCACTTGATGATCTCAGTGAGTAATCAGGTTGATAACAGAAAGGCAATTTGATGGGCATCCTGGTTTCCAGATGTTTAAGGCTTTATATATCCTAACCAAAACTCTGAACCTGGCTTGGTAATTGACATCCAATGCAGTTGCTTCAATGAAGAAGTAACATGAACGTGACTGGGTGACTCACTCAGTAACCTGGCTTCTACATTCTGTACCAGTTGAACCTTCCTGATCAGATTCAAGAGCAGCCCCAAATAGAGTGCATTACAGTAATCTCAATATGAAGTTACCAGGAAATGAACTACTGTAAATAGGCTGTTCCTGTCCAGGAAATAGTATAGTTACATACCAGCTGAAGCAGGCAACAATAAATCCTAGCTTCAGAGGTCACTTGGGCCTCCAGTGAAATGATGATTCTAGGAGCACCCCCAAATAATGGATTTTTCCCTTCTGAGAGAGTGCATCCCATTTAGATCAGATAAATTCCCCAATTCCCAAATCTGGGAACTCACCCACGAAATGTGTGTCTTGCTGAAATTTAGTCTTACTTTACTGGCCCTCAGCTATCCTATCATGGTATCCTGGTTCAGAACATACACAGCCTCTCCTGATTGAGTTGTTATGGAGAAGCAGAACCAAGCGTCATTTATAGGTTGGTGACACACAATCTCAAAAGTCCCGGTGATCCCTCTAGCAGTTTCATACAGATGTTAAATAGCATTGGACATAAAATAATGCCTTATGGCATCTCACGGAATAGCTGCCAGAGTTTAGAGGCAGAGTCACCAGTACTATTCTCTGAGATTGTCTGCTGAGAGATCAAACAGGATCAATAATCACATTGCTTCTGTCACTTTCCTGCAAGAGATCAATTTGACCGTGGCTGATTCTATCCCCAAACCAGGTCTGAATCCAGACTGAAAGAGACAAGATAATCAATGCTTTCCATTAATGTTTGCAGCTGCAGAACCACCACCCTCTCAAGCACCTCACACATAAAAGGAGTATTTGTAACTAGGTAATAGTTGGCAAAATCCTATGAATTCAAGAGGGTTTCTTCAAGAGCAGGTGGGCCAACTACTCCTTCAAGGCTGCAGCACCACCCTGATGCTAAGGTTCATCATTCCCTTGATCCACTAGTCACCATCCTCCCAAGCTAATTTATATGAACCAAGATGAGCAGGGGTGAAATAAACAAAATTAGGGTCAGATAGGGCAGAAAGCTTTGATCGCACCAGAATGGTGCTCTTGGGTACACCCTTGCAAAGTTATGTAATGTACACAATTCATAGTTTCTGTTGCTATAAGATATAATAATCAATAACATTATTTTCTCAAAAGAGGTGTTTTATTTCTCAGACTACGCAAACATCTGACATGCCAACGAAATCACTGATCAAAACGTTAAAGTTGTAGCCTGGGGTTTGTTTTTAAAATATAGGTAACTGAGAACTAAATTTAATTTGTCATCCTTTTCCATGAAGCAGTATTAT